CCCCCCACTCTCCTGCTCCTCCCAGTGGGAGCACTTGGAAAGAAAAAGGCATGGAAGGCAAAGCTCCCTTGGACCTGTTTGCTCATTTTGGGCCTGAGCCAGGGGAGCACCCGGATCCTCTGCCTCCCTCTGCGCCCTCTCCCCCTCGGGAGGGGGCTATGACCCCGCCTCCTTTCCCCTCTCCCTTTGAGCTGGTCCAGGAGAATGGCCTAGGCATGCAGCCACCTGCTTCTTCCCCACCGCTGGGGGCCTTGAAGCAGGAGAGCTGCAGTCCCAATCATCAGGGCCTAGCCCAGCAAGGCTCAGGCTCTAGCCCTGATGCCACGGGCATCCCTGGTAGCGCCTCGCCTCCCCGAGTTGCTGGGGTGCCCTTCTTCAAGCAGTCTCCAGGGCACCAGAGCCCTCTTGCCTCCCCAAAAGTGCCCGTCTGTCAGCTCTTGAAGGAAGAAGATGATGAGGGGCCAGTGGACAAGTCTTCCCCCGGAAGTCCCCAGAGTCCCTCTAGTGGGGCCGAGGCTGCAGACGAGGACAGCAATGACTCCCCTGCCTCTTCCAGCTCCTCTAGGCCTCTTAAGGTGCGGATCAAGACCATCAAAACATCCTGTGGGAATATCACAAGGACTGTCACTCGGGTCCCCTCAGATCCTGAACCACCTGCTCCCTTGGCTGAGGGGGCTTTCTTGGCGGAGGCTAGCCTCTTGAAGCTGTCCCCTGTAACACCGACCCCTGAGGGTCCAAAGGTAGTGAGTGTCCAGCTGGGTGATGGTACAAGGCTGAAAGGCACTGTGCTGCCTGTGGCCACCATCCAAAATGCCAGTACGGCCATGCTGATGGCAGCCAGTGTGGCCCGCAAGGCTGTGGTGCTGCCTGGGGCTGGCACCAGCCCTAAGATGATTGCAAAGAATGTGCTGGGCCTGGTGCCTCAAGCCCTGCCTAAGGCAGAGGGGCGGGCAGGGCTGGGGACTGGGGGACAGAAGGTGAATGGTGCCTCGGTGGTGATGGTGCAGCCTTCAAAGACAGCCACTGGGCCAAGTGCAGGGGGCGGCACGGTGATCTCACGGACCCAGTCCAGCCTGGTGGAGGCCTTCAACAAGATCCTCAACAGTAAGAACCTGCTCCCTGCCTATAGGCCAAACCTGAGCCCGCCAGCCGAGGCTGGGCTGGCCCTGCCTCCCACGGGCTACCGCTGCCTGGAGTGTGGGGATGCCTTCTCGTTGGAGAAGAGCCTGGCACGGCACTATGACCGCCGGAGCATGCGTATCGAGGTCACCTGCAACCACTGCGCCCGCCGCCTGGTCTTCTTCAACAAGTGCAGCCTGCTCCTGCACGCACGTGAACACAAGGACAAGGGGCTTGTCATGCAGTGCTCACATTTGGTCATGAGGCCTGTAGCCCTTGACCAGATGGTGGGGCAGCCAGACATCACACCCCTGCTGCCTGTAGCTGTCCCAACTGTCTCTGGACCTCTGGCCTTGCCTGCCTTGGGCAAGGGTGAGGGGGCCGTCACCTCCTCCACCATTACTACAGTTGCTGCTGAGGCTCCTGTCCTGCCGCTCTCCACAGAGCCGCCCGCTGCCCCTGCCACCTCTGCTTACACGTGCTTTCGCTGCCTGGAGTGCAAGGAGCAGTGCCGGGACAAGGCTGGCATGGCAGCTCACTTCCAGCAGCTCGGGCCCCCCGCCCCTGGGGCCACCAGTAATGTGAGTCACCTTTCACAGTCCCGTGGGGACAGGATCTGGGAAGGCATTGGGGGCTTGGTTAGAAGTAATGGGGACAGGCTACTCCTCACCGACTTACCTGTTTGACCCACTTGACAGGTGTGCCCAACCTGCCCCATGATGCTCCCCAATCGCTGCAGCTTCAGTGCCCACCAGCGCATGCATAAGAATCGACCCCCCCACGTCTGCCCTGAGTGTGGGGGCAACTTCCTGCAAGCCAATTTTCAGACCCATCTCCGGGAGGCCTGTCTGCATGTCTCTCGCCGTGTAGGATACAGGTGCCTCGGACCCTTCCTCCAGAGCGTAGGGTTTCATGTGTCCCAGCCTCAGCCTTAGATGGCCTTTCACGATCCCCCGTCTCCCCTGCTGTATCCCTCAGCCCTATTGTTTTGGCGAACTCATCCCTGAGATGGTACGTCCTGCCTTCCTGACATCAATATCGATGGGGGGAGGAGGGCCACCTCTGGAGCTTCAGCTCTGCCTCGGCAGCCTCCTTTGGGGAACGGCCTCTGCACCTCCCCCCATTCTCCACCCTGCTCATGTTCCACTGCTGATTTCCTTCTTGGAGTCTACCCGGTCCTGGAGAAAAAGTGTGGGGTGCTGGGGTGGGCCTGGAGATGCCTCCCTTATTACCACAGGGCCTCCTGCTTCCTCCCCAGGTGCCCCAGCTGTTCAGTTGTGTTTGGGGGTGTGAACTCCATCAAGTCCCACATCCAGACGTCGCACTGCGAGGTTTTCCACAAGTGCCCCATCTGCCCCATGGCCTTCAAGTCTGGGCCCAGCGCCCACGCCCATCTGTACTCCCAGCATCCCAGCTTCCAAACACAGCAGGCCAAGTGAGGCCTAGGGAGGGACGGGATGGGGCGGGATAGGGAGGGCGGGCTGGGGGGCAGAGGGGAGGGACTGCACCCATCCCTGCCTGATGTTTGCTTTGTCCTCACCTCAGGCTGATCTACAAGTGTGCCATGTGTGACACGGTCTTCACTCACAAACCCCTCCTCTCCTCACACTTCGACCAGCACCTGCTGCCCCAGCGGGTCAGTGTCTTTAAGTGCCCGTCTTGTCCTCTGCTCTTTGCCCAAAAAAGGACCATGCTGGAACATCTCAAGGTACGGGGCAGAGCCGTGGGGAACGTGTGCTTAGCTGGACGGACATGGGGCTGGGGCCACGTAAGTGTAAGCGGGGGGCTTTGGCACAGCCAGGCCCTTCCCCACAACAGCCACCTCCCTTGTCTCTCACAGAACACCCATCAGTCTGGGCGCTTGGAGGAGACTGCTGGGAAAGGGGCCGGGGGTGCCCTGCTGACCCCCAAGACTGAGCCTGAGGAGCTGGCTGTTTCTCAGGGAGGGGCAGCCCCTGCTACTGAGGAGTCATCTACATCTTCAGAAGAAGAGGAAGTACCCAGCTCCCCTGATCCCCCCCGCCCGGCCAAACGGCCCCGGCGGGAACTAGGGAGCAAAGGCCTCAAGGGTGGGGGTGGGGGGCCTGGAGGCTGGACCTGTGGCCTGTGTCACTCCTGGTTCCCTGAGCGTGACGAGTATGTGAGCCACATGAAGAAGGAGCATGGCAAGGTGAGTGGGCCCTGAGGGGAGTACCATGGGCTGGGGGTGGCACTGGGACTGTCCGGGTGACAGTGGGATGGGGTCCTGGAGCCTGGCTCTGACACCTACCCCTGCTCTCCTAGTCAGTGAAAAAGTTTCCCTGTCGGCTGTGTGAGCGCTCCTTCTGCTCCGCCCCCAGCCTGAGGCGCCATGTCAGGGTCAATCACGAGGGCATCAAGCGAGTTTACCCCTGCAGGTAACTCCTTCTCCCCACTTCCTCTTCCTGCCCAGCACATGACCCTCTGCATGTGCCAGAGTACCTTCGAGCCTGCGGTTGGTCTCGGTGGCCTGACCAGGCCTCCCTCTGCTCCGCAGCCCCTCCTCAGGAGCAGGGCCCTGGCCTTCGGGCTGTGCCCCTGCCGCCATCCTGCCCTCTCCCATTTCAGGTATTGCACAGAGGGAAAACGCACCTTCAGCAGCCGCCTGATCCTGGAGAAACATGTCCAGGTCCGGCACGGCTTGCCGCCTGGGGCCCAGTCCCCTGGCCGGGGGAGCACCCTGGCTCGGGGTCCCAGTGCCAGAGCCCAGGTAGGCAGGGGCCTGGCCTGCTGTTAGGACTTTGAGTAGGAAACTGGAAGGTAGAGACCGTGGCCGCAGGAAGTGAGGGAGGGGTGCCAGGGGCAGTGGGGGTGGTGGTGAGGCCGTTGCTTCCACTTTTCTTCAGGGGCCGGGTCGGAAACGCCGCCAGTCTTCGGACTCTTGCAGTGAGGAGCCTGACAGCACGACACCGCCAGCCAAGTCCCCCAGGGGCGGACCTGCATCTGGAGGCCACGGCCCCCTGCGCTACCAGAGCAGCGGCTCCACGGAACAGAGCCTCCTGGTGGGGTTGAGGGTGGAGGGTGGCGCCCAGCAGTGCCTCGACTGCGGCTTGTGCTTTGCCTCCCCTGGCTCCCTGAACCGGCACCGTTTCATCAGCCACAAGAAGAGACGGGGTGTGGGTAAAGCCAGTGCCCTGGGGCTGGGGAATGGGGAGGAAGAGGCCCCTCCATCAAGGTCTGACCCCAATGGTGGAGACTCACCCCTGCCAGCTTCTGGAGGCCCACTGACCTGTAAGGTCTGTGGCAAAAGCTGCGACAGCCCCCTCAACCTCAAGACCCACTTCCGCACGCACGGCATGGCGTTCATCAGGGCTCGGCAGGGGGCTGTCGGGGACAACTAGGCCCAAGCCTGGGACTGACCTCTGGGAGCCTGGCTGTCCCTGCTGCTGCCTGGTCCCTGGGCTGGGGAGTTTCATTAACATGAACAATTTGTTAATTTCTCTCCAACCTGAAGAAAAGCTTTTGAGGATTATTCTAGTTACTTGCAACCTCCCTTTGGGTTTGGCCCTGGAGTCCTAGTAGCGTGGACCCTCCATTCGTCCTTTCTGAGCCCAACACTAATTATGCTCCTGCTGCAGAACCCCCAGTGTGGGCCTGGGGTGGGAGGATGGGACTTAGGTGTGCCTGCTAGACAGGTGCGGGGAAGGATTGACGGGGGTGTCATGGAGGGCCACACCTCTCCGTAATTCCTTCAGGCAGGGACTGGAACGTTCCTCCTCTGGGCCAGGCCCTGCCCTAGTGCCCCCTCCCCACCAACTCGCTGGCACTCAAGTCCCCCACCCCTGCAGTGCCTTTCACTTCTTTTTTTTTCCCCAGAAATCTGGCGGGGTGGGGGGGTTGGTGGGGATGAGTCCTGTGGAGAGGACAGGCTCTCAGGAATCCTTTATTCTTGTAGTAATAATACTAACAGTGGGGGAACTAGGGAGAAAACCAGACCATTAAACTGCTTGTGGTCTCATCTCCATTCAGGCCTCTCTTTCTGTGACTTGGACAGTGTGGACTTGACAGGAAGCGGGTGAGAGTCAGAACATGGGAGGCCTTTCCTTCTCAGAGAAGAGGTGGTGGTGACCAAGACAGGCAGGGAAAAAGCAAACCTCTTTCTGTGTGGTACCTTCTGTATCTTGGACACTGAGGCATCCGTTCACGCCTCATCACCCATCTCCCCCCCACCCCCCGCACTCCCCCAGAACACCTGGAAATGACACAAGTGGCTAACTAAGGACTTTATTTCAAACAAAAATTAAAAATAAAAAATTGAGAGCTCTTTTCCCTGGGTTTGGGGAAGGAGTCAGGGAATTCCCCATGGCTAGGCCAGTACCCTCAGTACTCTGGAGGGCTGTGGGAATTCCCTTCCGTGTCCATGACGGGGAACCTCAGCAAGTGCAGGGCCCACGCAGCGCCCACCAGCAAGGGGGGCCTGGGCCAGGGGTCGGTCCCTGGGAGGGGCAGAGCTGGGCAGCAGCATGGCCAGTGGCCAACCACAGGATCAAGTCCTAAGTACCGAGACCCTACTCTTCCCTGCTTCCTGGGCCCCAGAACGGAGTAAGAGGATGGCCTGTGGAAAGAACCCTTCAGACCCCTACAGGAGAAGAAAGGCCACAGCGTCCCTCATGTTCATCGCCTCTGTTCTCCGGAGGGCAGTGAGTCCTGGAGTCTGTCCGGTGGTAATACTGACACAGAGCAGGGGGGCAGGGAAGCCCCAGCAAGTCTGGACCCCACAGCTGGCTCTCCTACCCCGTGGCAAGCTCTCGCAGTTACCACATGATCCTTCGGGTTTCTTGCCTTCCATTTCCCTTGGGTGGATGGTTGGGTAGATGGGGTTTCCTGGTTTGGGGTTTCTCAGAAAAGGGCCCTCTAGGGAGGGTGCCCTGGACCTCCCCCCCCACTCCTGGCCTGAGGAGCGTGTCACATGATGCCGTTGGTGAGGTACTGGAAGCCGTCATAGAGTTTGGTGGTGATAGAGCGCATACTGCCATCCACCATCTGCTCCACCAGCAGCTGCAGCTGCTCCTCAGTCATGCTCATGTGGAACCTCTCTTTGAGGTTTCGGATGGTGCTGGAACCATGGAAGCAAGGAAGCTGAGAACCTGGGGGAAGCAGTGGGGGTTCAGGGCCATGGACAAGAGGGAGGGGCAGTGGTGCCAGCCACAGCAAATACAGAGCCGGGGCATCTGAAGTGCCCATTCCCTCCCACCTCATCCCACCTCAGGTCCCGGATGGTATGGGTGCACTTCTGCTTGGGTAGAGAGAAGGAACCAGCAGGAGCCCCTCGACATCCCACACCTAAGCCCCTCCGTAGGTGAAGGCATGTGGGCAGAGGAGGGAGAGGACCAGCGCCATGTCTTCCTCTCAGTAAAGGCGGAGGGGCCCAGAGGGCAGGCTGGGAGGAGGCTGGAGGGAGTGGGCCCTGAGTTGGGCACTTATCTGGTTGCAGGCCTCTGCCTACGCTACGTCTGACACTCACAGATGACCTGGGCCACCGTCATCATGGGGCCAGATGGGGATGATCCTGAGCAACGGCGACAACCTGTGGGGTAGGGGCAGGGACGGGGAGGAGGGGAGACTGGCAGCTCAGACCTGGGGTACAACTGGAGCCTTGGGGGGGTGGGTGAGGACAGAAGGGGGTCCTGGGCAAAAGACTGTAGATGGCAAGGCTGTAGTGGAAGGAGATAAAGATGAGAGAGGAAATACTCGAGCTGAAGAGTGGTGGAGGACAGGGAAATCGGAGGTCATGGTGGAATGCGGAAGAGAGATGAGAGGAGACTGAGAAACACAGAGCTGGATGGGGGTGGGGAGGTGAGGAGGGGCCAGGAGGCTGGAAGTGGGCCTGTTTTCTCCCTAAAGAGGAGGAGGAGGCAGGTGCTGCTGTCCGCTCCCCCCACCCCCTGGACTTAGCTCTACCAGGGTCAAGACGAATATCCTAAAGGACAAGCAAGGCACTGGGCCTGAGCCAGAAACCCGCTGGGGAACCCTCCCTCCTTCAACCCGAGTAGGTGGGATCAGCTTTCTTATGCTCCAGGGCGCCGACCTACACGGGAAGCCTGAGGCACTGTGGCACCGGACCTCACCCCAGCCCCACCTTGCTGCATGATCTCCACGATCTGCACCACCTTATCCATGTGTTTCCGAGCAGCAATCAGCCCCTGCAGCATCAGCATCTTGTAGTAGTTGAACATGTCGCCATCCAGGCCGCCCATCACCTGGGAAGAGAGGAGAGCGCTGTGTGCACAAGGGGACTTACACCGGGGACGGTTCCTGTCCCGACTGGCCTACCAGAACTCTTCTCGGGGCCCTGTTATTTCCCCACTTCCTTATCGGGCAGGAAGCTCCCAGGAACTCTGGCCTCACCCGTTTACTGCCTGTTCTGTTCATCCCTAATTTGCAGGGAGCCCATCAGCTCCTCATCCCATGACAGAGAAAGAATACAGTGACCCCAGAGGCACCTCTCCTTCTTGACTCACATCCACAAACTCTGTGGTCAGCTTAAAGGCTGACGTCTCAAAGCCCAGATTTCGGGGTGAGCTGGACAGGATGAAGCCAAAGTCGATGTGGATGATGTGGCCTTCTGCGTCCAAAAGGATATTCCCATTGTGTCTGAGGAGGGGGAGTGGAGGAGAGGAAGAGGCAGTAGTCAGTCTGACTGAGGCTGGAACCTCAAGCAGCAATACACTGGCCACATGACACCAGGCAGGGGGGTCCCCTGCTGTTTCCTGCTGCCCGTAACTCCAGTCTCCTGTCCAATCTCCTAGGACCTAAAGCTATCAATGGAAAGGACATCAGAAAAGAAAACTGCTTACAAAGGCCATGGGGTCTGAAATTGCTATTAACAATTTAATAAAAAGAGTTTTAAGGTTCTCCTAATTTCCCAGAAATTGCACTTCTTGCACCCAAACTGATCCCACTCTAAGAGAGCCCGGCAGTAAGGAAGGAGGGCCTCTGAGGCTCCAGCCAGCTGCCACAGAGGCCGAGCGCTCTTTACCTGGGGGTTATTTGTAACTTTACCAGGTAAACAGGCCATTCCGAGCCTGTTTACCTGGGGATTATTTGTAACTCTTGTCAGCCCACTGAGGTCAGAGGCCTCACCAGAAGGGAGCAGCAACAGAGGCAAGCAGGCTGAGTGGAGCTGAAATGTGAACTAGCATGGGGGCTTCAAGGGGTAAGTTTTAAATCACTTATGTAAAAGGTCTCAGGAGGCAGCAGGACTGCAGGGCAGCTGTAGAAGAGTTAAAGGGGGATAAATCCCAGGGCTTTGTGATTCCCACATGAATGGCCAGTAGCAGAAGGAACCATTAACATGCTAAGCACGCGAGGCCCGGCCCATTCAGCCTCACCAGCCTTCTCAGTGTCAGTAGGGGCTTTGTCTGAGGGCCGCCTTCTCCGGGGTGGGTTTGACTGGCCAAAAGCGGAGGGTCAAAAGAAGAACCCACTCCCACCTAACCCCACCTGGGTTCTTCCCGCTCTGGGAAAACCCTAAAGATGTGGCGACCCAGGCACACTCTTGTGAGCCAGAATGGTTCTAGGAGTTGCCATGGTTCAACCTCTCCTTTTATAGGTGAGGAAACGGAGGCCCTGAGAGAGGAAGTGACTTTATGTGCCAGGGTCCCAAAGCCTCTCTTTTCACTACCAGAGTTAGCCCCGGTTGGAAAGCCGCTTTGGGCTACTTTTGAAGCAGTTGAAGAGATCCTGCAACCTGACCCCAGCATGGGCCTCTTCACTGCTGCACTTCTTTCCAGTGGTTGATGCCGTTCGTGGCTAGACTACATCTCTCCTTTGCTGAGATGCTCTGAATGGCTTACCAGCTACCTGCCCTCCTCTGTCCCTCCTTTTTTAGAGGATGCTCTCATCCTTCAAACACACTAGTTTCCTAAAGGAAAGCCCTGGGGCCTGACTAGTGCCAGCTTCCCCGCCACCCACTGACTCAATCCCAGGACTGAGCTCTAGGCTCCCTGGGCCCTGTGTTCAAAATCCTGACACTTCGAGACAGTCTGAAGCTTGCAATCAAATTCCTTATAAATCATTACATTCTCTTACAGCTCTCAAATGCAGGGCCTATGCTGGGTCCATTTGTAGGGCTGGCAGAGTGGAATGAACACAGGTTCTAGAAGCTACCTGACCATTATTTCCCTCATGAGGAAACACATGTCTGACAGGGTTATCATCTGGTTTAAATATAAGAATGTCAGGCCATGGCAGGCACTTAACAGATGCTAATAAGATCTAATAAGCTGCCCCGTTAGCTAGATTCTGTTTTGTTTAGACAGGGTCTTGCTCTGTTGCCCTCAACCTCCTGCTCAAATGATCCTTCCACCTCAGCGTGCGAAGTAGCTGGGACCACAGCTGTGCACCACCATGCTTGGCTAATTTTTATTTTTGTATAGATGGGATGGATCTCACTATGTTGCCCAGGATGGTCTCAAACTCCTGGGCTCAAGCAATCCTGCTGCCTCAGTCTTGTTAAATAGATCTTCTGTTTGAGACCGTCTCTCTTTGTTGCCCAGGCTGAAGCACAATGGCACGATCTCAGCTCACTGCAACCTCTGCCTCCTGGGTTCAAGCAATTCTCCTGCCTCGGCCTCTTGAGTAGCTGGGATTACAGGTCTGTATCACCATGCCTGGCTAATTTATGTATATATATATAAAAATTTTGTTTTTTGAGTTGGAGTTCCACTCTTGTCGCCCTGTCTGGAGTCCAATGACGCGATCTTGGTTCACTGCAAACTCTGCCAGGTTTAAGTGATTCTCTTGCCTCAGCCTCCCCAGTTGCTGGGATTACAGGTGCCTGCCACCATGCCTAGCTAATTTTTTTTGTTTTGTATTTTTAGTAGAGATGGGGTTTCACCATGTTGGCCAGGCTGGTGTCGAACTCCTGACCTCAAGTGATCTGCCCACCTTGGTCTCCCAAAGTGCTGGGATTACAGGGGTGAGCCACCTGCCCAGCCATCATTAGCTAGAATGTAATGTAATGGGCCACCATATTACTGGAAGCCCCGGCAGCACTGGCCACTGCATTTCTGCCTTCCCAGGACGGTTGCCCTATGCCAAGGCAGAGATGGAACTCACAGGAGCATTCGGGGAAGATACCTTGGGTCACTGTTGGGAGACACTCTTAGAAGGCAGGCCCTAGATGGTGTAATTATCTTTGGACATCTTGTGCCTCACCTATATGTGTAGTTAGGTCTCATCAAGGTCATGTGACATTGAAAAAGCTGATAGCTCTGGGCAAAACAACAGATACTGAAAGGCTGTGGAAATCACATGCTGGAGTAAGAAGTGAGGAGAGTTCATGGCTGAGTTTCAACTTCACCTCCATCACGTTTCTCCTTTCTGCTCTCAGTAACTAACCAGTACCCTTAGTGCCAGGCCCTATCACCTCTTGCTTTGTTGCTAAACGTCCAGTTACATCCCCCTTTACCCACAGTGCCACAGGGCATTCACTCAACACCGACTGGATTATGCCATTCCTCTGCCTGCAAAATAAAACACCTAAGCTTCCCAATGAAGGCCCTTCTTCAACTGGCCTCAATTTACCTGTCTGAGGGTCCCACCTGCTACTCTCCTGCCATGCAGTGCAGTCCATGCTTTAATCACATTCAATTATTTCTTCCAGCTCGGACGTACCTCCCCCGTAGCTTTCTCTGTCATCATTCTCCCTTGTCCTTGAAGACCGTGCTCACTGAAACCCTTACTCCTCCTGTAAATCCTTCATTTCTTTGCCCTTTTACCCCAGTTCTTGTCAGTCTGCTTCCTGGCTTAATATCATGTGAACACGTCTGTCTCTGCTTACAATACGTTGTTTCATTTTTCACATCTTTGCCATGGAGGGCAGTAGTAACTAATTGAGAACTACACATGAAGGGACAGAGAGAACCCTGGAGAAAGGTTGGATGAGCAGCAGAAGTCACCTACCTGTCCTTGACTTGCAGCAGGTAGCAGACCAAGCAGTAGCCAGCACAACTTTGCACAAAATTGCGCTGGGCACTGAGGAATGCCTCAGTGGTATAACTGCCGTGCTCCTGTAGAAAGTAATCGAGCAAGGAGAGCTGTGACTGTTTCTTCACCTGATGGATGGATACAGCGTTGACCACTGGTTCAATCATGCCACTGTCGGCTGAAATCACAAGAATCTTGTATGGCTTGATCCAGAGGGGCACTCGCTCCTGTTCCCAAATGGACTGTGAGGAGACATGGGGGGTACAGGACTCTTATCTTTCTCCAGACTAGAGAAGGAGGCGAAAACTTCCCCTTTTCTCCAACCTCTCTCCTTGGTGGCACTGGATTCTAAGCCATCAAGTAAGACTCACTTAACCCAGGAAGGACCAGGGAGTTTTGAAAGGAAGTCTAGGGACTGACAAAGTCAGGAAACTACACTCAGTGGGAAAAGGTATCACATAAGCAGAAAGTCCAAAAGAGGCAGGGAGAACAGGACACTTCACTATCCCTTCTCAAGCTGGGACAATGGGAGCTATAAGTTCAAACAAGAAAAAAGAGGCCAGGTGCAGTGGCTTGTGCTTGTAATCCCAGCACTTCGGAAGGCTGAGGCAGGTGGGTCACCTGAGGTCAGTTTGATACAAGCCTGGCCAACGTGGTGAAACCTTGTCTCTACTAAAAATACAAAAATTTGCTGGGTATGGTGGTGCATGTCTGTAAGTCCAGCTACTCAGGAAGCTAAGGCAGGAGAATTTCTTGAACCCAGAAGGTGGAGGTTGCAGTGAGCCAAGATTGCACCTCTGCGCTCCAGCCTGAGTGACAGAGCAAGACTCTCTCTCAAAAAAAAAAAAAAAAAAAAAAAAAAAAGGGAAAAAAGAAAAAGGAAAAGGAAAAGATTTAGGTCCAGAGAAGACTCCTCTGGAAAATGACAATATTCACATGCTATGACGAACATTATTAAAAAATTAAGTGGCTTGCAGGTGACCGACCCAGGGGGATCAGAAGATCAATGCCTCAGCACACGAGAACCCACCTGCTACAGACCACTGGGAAGTTTTTTATGTTGCTTTTTCTTTTTAAACGGGGGAGGACCAAATTATTATTTTAAAATTTGATTACAACCAATTGTGTTGGCATTAAAATTAGAGGCATTACGTTTGAATAATGGATATATACCAAAAAGCAGATATTTGAGTTTGGCAAAAATGGGAAAAGAAGTTTTCCAGTCATTTCAGATTAGAAATCAATTTAGAGAAATGGGCCCCACGTTTACAATGATTGTGCCACAGATTTAAACTTCAGTAGTGCATTAGTAAACTGTTCACATTTTGATCTTCCCCTTGAGATTTAACAGCTATTTCTTGAAAATAATCTCAGTACCTTGTACAAATAAATTGGTCTTAACACTAGGAGAAAGTGGGTCACTAAGTCCCAGCAAAATTTTCTTTTTGGCTCACTTCAGTTAGAAATGCTGATTTCCGGCCAGGCGCGGTGGCTCAAGCCTGTAATCCCAGCACTTTGGGAGGCTGAGGCGGGTGGATCACGAGGTCAAGAGATCGAGACCAACGTGGTCAACATGGTGAAACCCCGTCTCTACTCAAAATACAAAAAATTAGCTGGGCACGGTGGCGTGTGCCTGTAATCCGAGCTACTCAGGAGGCTGAGGCAAGAGAACTGCCTGAACTCAGGAGGCGGAGGTTGCGGTGAGCCGAGATCGCGCCATTGCACTCCAGCCTGTAACAAGAGCGAAACTCCGTCTCAAAAAAAAAAAAAAAAAAAAAAAAAAAGAAATGCTGATTTCTTCAAATGTGTATTTTTCTTAGAGACAGGGTCTGTTGCCCAAGCTGGAGTGCAGTGGCTATTCTCGGTCTGGATCCTGCTACTGATCAGCACAGGAGTTCTGACCTGCTCCATTTCTGACCTGGGCCAGTTCACCCCTCCCTTAGGCAACCTGGTGGTCCTCTGTTCCCAGGAGGTCACCATATTGACGCTGAACTTAGTGCAGACACCCAACTGGCATAGCACACTACAGCCCAGAATTCCCGGGCTTAAGCCACCCTCCCGCCTCAGCCTCCTGACTAGCTGAGACTACAGGCCTGAGCCAGGGCGCCAGGCCATTTTGGAAGTTTTTTTTTTTTTTTTTTTTTTGAGACGGAGTTTCGCTCTTGTTACCCAGGCTGGAGTGCAATGGCGCGATCTCGGCTCACCGCAACCTCCGCCTCCTGGGTTCAGGCAATTCTCCTGCCTCAGCCTCCTGAGTAGCTGGGATTACAGGCACGCGCCACCATGCCCAGCTAATTTTTTGTATTTTTTTAGTAGAGACGGGGTTTCACCATGTTGACCAGGTTGGTCTCGATCTCTCGACCTTGTGATCCACCCACCTCGGCCTCCCAAAGTTCTGGGATTACAGGCTTGAAACACCGCCCCCGGCCTTGGAAGTTTTGATCTAAAAGGCAAACCTAGCACTCTGAAGTTCAGACTTGGAACAGGGTAGGTGCAGGTCTCAAAAGGGCCAAAAGAGGCCGCTGTGGAGCTGTTCCTATGGCTAAGCTTCCCAGGGGAAAGGAGCACTAGCTTTCCTTTACTCTGCCTTTGTTTTAGACCTGGGCAGGAAGGTGGTCCCCAGCAGAATAATCTGTGTAGTCATCGCCTCAGGTGGGCTGGTATTGGGCTGAGTTCCCCTTCTCTCTCCTTCTCTTCTCTTACCTGCAGTTGCTTCAACACCTGAAAGGCCAGCAGCTCTTGCCGAAGGTCATCCCCACACTTGACAATGACCGACAGGAGCCGCCAATTGGGGAGATGCCCGTAGGGGGAGCCCTCTCTGATCCGCCTGTGAAGAGAGAAGTAAAGGGTGTCAAAGGCTGATGCCAGAGTGAGGACAAGAAACATGGCTTCCACTAAAAATCTAAAGCAAATGCCCCATAGGGCAACGACCCACACAGCCTGGGAGTCTGACGGACTTTTTTGGAGGCTGATGGACAATAACGTTGGTGCAGTGAGCACCTGCAACGGCCTCAGAGCTTTGAGGGGAGTTCAGAGACCCATACCACCCAACTCACCGTACTTTCTCCTGCCAGGGCTCTTTGAGAGCAACTGCAGAAGGATCTTCTGGGTCTCGTTTGAAGGCTGTTGGGGTGTGAGCCAGCTGTTCCGAAAGGCGCCGGCTGGCAAGAAGAAAATACATCATTTGCTTGGAGGACCTGCCCCCAACCTCATGCCCCATCTATACTGACATTTCCTGCACTGCGTCCTGGATTCTGGGCGCACGAAGATAGGAACCCAGGCTGAAAGGGACTCACAGAAGGAAAGATAACCAGTGACACCTTTTTGCTAACTTAGTGATTGTAATCATGTTAAAATTAAGATTACCAGGCCCTGCATATTCCTCTACCAACACTGATTCAGAATGGGATGTGACTCTAGAATCTGCATTTTCAACAAGGCCTCCTTCCTCTCCCTGGATTCTGACACACGTCACTTTGAGACCCCACTTTGAGACACACTGCTTGAGTTCCTTCCTCTGGTGCTTTGGAATCCTTTTAAAATGTAATTTCCTTCTTTGGTAGCCCAAGTAATTTTTCAACCTATACACACCTTCATTGCCTCAAGTTTGGTGGCCCGGAACAAGGACAGAATGATAGAAGAGGGAAAGACACAGGCCAACAATAGATGACTGAGACGGATAGGAAGGTAACAAAGAGACGGGAAGTGCCTGAAAGAGGGAGGAAAAACGAGGGGCAATGTGATCTGGCCATACCGGATGTCCCCTGCTGCAATGAACACAGGCTCCTTGCTCTCCTGGCTGGTGATGCTGTCCACAGAGAACTGGGAGATGTTGTCACAGCTGTTGGTGTGTACTTCAGGGAGCTGGAGAGGGCAGGGGAGTGCTGGTCAGAGTGCTAAGTACAGGTCTCCTTTCCTGCCCTTCCTGCTTGTTTGCTATCACTGCAGCATGCTCATCCCGCCCTTCCAAACTCTGCTTACACACCATGCTGATCGCCTGGACCCCAGGCTGCCCAGAGCAGCGTTTCTCAACACGTGAACTACCTGTATCTGAATTACCCAGAATGCAGATTCCCAGGCCCCGCCACCAATCTGAATTAGAATTACTGGGAATGGGATCTGAAAGTCTGAATTTTTAACAGGTTCTCCAGGAGACTTCCAATGCACTTAAGTTTGCGAACCACTGCCATGACCATCACAGGAGCCCGAAATTTCAGCCTTGCACTAAGAGTCCCCCAAGGCTAGGGATGCGTTCTCCCCTAGGGTCCAAAGCAGACCCTCTTCAGACTAGCTTCTTCTGAGTTTCTTCAATCTAAATCATTCAATCTTATCTTCTCATCTCTAACTACAGAATATTCTACCAGACCCCTAGGCCCCTGTCAAGTCTCTTCTATGTACCAGAGCATTTCTTCTCAACTCCATCAGCAACCTAGTATACACTGCTTTGTTGTGTATCTACTTTTTTTTTCTTCAATGTCTGATTTCTCCAGTTGGACTGTAAGCTCAAAGACAGAGGTTCTGTCTTTTGGCAAAGTGAAACCTGGCTTTTTTTTTTACGTCAGGGTCTCACTCTGTCGCCCAGGCTGGTGTGCAGTGTTGTGATCTTGGCTCCCTGCAGGCTCCACCTCCCAGGTTCAAGTGATTCTTGTGCTTTAGCCTCCTTAGGAGCTGGGATTACAGCCATGTGCCAGCACACTGGGCTTTTTTGTTTTTTTCTTTTGAGATGGAGTTTCGCTCATCACCCAGGATCAAGTGCAATGGCAAGATCTTGGCTCACTGCAACCTCCACCTCCTGGGTTCAAGCAATTCTACTACCTCAGCCTCCTGAGTAGCTGAGATTACAGGTTACCTACCACCACCATACAAAAACATAATTTTCGTATTTTTAGTAGAGACAAGGTTTTACCATGTTGGCCAGGCTGGTCTTGAAATCCTGACCTCAAGTGATCCACTCACCTTGGCCTCCCAAAGTGCTGGGATTACAGGCATGAGCCACCACACCTGGCCAGCTGCGTTAATAGCCCTACGTAAAATTCTGCTCTGACTCTTCATGCCCCAGAATAAAGTTCTCAAGTTTCTTTCCCCAGCTTATAGGGTCCTTCCTGCAGTCTGGTCTGCGCCCATGTGTCCAGTCTTATTCCTCACCACTTCTTACCCTCACCTGCACTTCTCAGTCAGACACAATTTCTTTCAGTTTCTATAATGGCCCAAGCTCCCTCTTGTCTTCTGGCCTTTGCACGCACTGTTCCCTCTGTCCAGAATACTCTTTGTCCAGCTAATTGCTAGCCATGCTTCCAGCCTCAGCTGAGAGATTACTTCCTCCAGGAAATCTTTTGTGACTCCCACCCCAAGTCTGGTGTTCCTATAATGTCCTGTCCTCTCCACCACGGCCTGGCTCACACTGCTTACTTGCTTACTGGCCTTGCTCTCTTTCCAGTTAGGTCACAAACTCCTTGCAGGCAGGGGCCAAGTCTTGTTCACCTGCACGCAGCACTCAGGTCTGGCACATAGAAGGCCCTCAATAAATATTTATTGAATGAATTTATGTATGACTTACCATCCTCTGCTATTCTATGACAACCTTATATAGCAGGTGTTCAATAAATATTTTCATTAGATATCCCTCACTCCCCTTGGCCTAGAAGTTCCTCTTTACATTTAAATCTGAATTCCTTCACCAGGAGAATGAGCTCCACTGAATCTATTCCGGACCAGAGTTGTTCAGAGCCTCCCCACTCTTACCCCTCACCAACCACACCGCTCACTGGGGTACTTGCCTCACCCCACCTTGGGGTACGCTGTCTTGTTTCAAGTATGTTGAAAGCTCCTGGAGAACAGGTGCTGTGACCCAGCATTACCTCCGTGAAGCTCCCTTACCTCCACTTGCAGCTCGCCTATGTCATCCACTGACCAGGCCTCATCATCATTGTCATAGTTGGGGACAGTGCTGAAGCTGCCAGCTCGCTGCTCATGGGTGATACCACATTCAGGCAAGTTCTCTACAGATCTTGTACTCCTAATTCTGTTCTCGGGGATCCGGGCAGGGACACTGGTGGTGTCAAAGTTTTCACATTCAAGGACTTCCACATAGATCAGGTAGGGAGCCTGGGGAAGAGTGAGAACAGTATGTGCAATCTACTTCCACCACTAACCCCCAACTCTCAGCTCTGTTCGCAGGGTTCTTCCTGCTGCCCTAGCTCCTAGCTCCAGCCTTCATCCATTAGTCCCCTGAAACTATGAATAGATTTAGGGCCTATTTAGGGCAGACATTTGTCCTCTGATAACCTATATCAAGAATTTGGGTGAGAGAATGCACAAGTCTTCAAAATGTTTCAACTGAGCTCCAAAATGTACAGATGATGCATTTGGGCCAAACTATTCTAGACTATCAATTACAGCTTGTAAGGGAGGCCTGGATGCTTCTGTGGGCTTGTCTTGAAGACAGGGCCTGGGGCTACAGTGGACAGAAAGACTGGGACAAAGCTGGGCACTGTCCTAAGGAGCATCCCAAACTTCAGTATTTCCTTTGAAGGAAGAATCTGAACCATGAATACTCATTCCAGTCGGCACACAAATTCAGTTAAGCGAATTGGGCATCATTCTCTCCTTCTGTCTGCTCATTCTGATCAGAAAAGGTCTTAGAAACAAAATATTTCTCTACCCTCATGGTTGCTGTATCTAGAAAGTTCAAGAGTTACAGAAGGGCTGGAGAGGAGCTACCAAGGTGACCATAAAGTGGGGTGGAGAGCAATTATCCTAAGATACAGCAAGAAGCAAGCTGAAAAGATTAGGTTTCTTTGGTCCAGAAAAACAAAGCCCAAGAAGGGAGGCAGGAGGGCTCTCAAAATCACAATAGCACTGAGACAGAGTCATGGTTGACATATGCATCATCAACTACAAAGGGAGTCTAGGAAGTTGGTGGGGGCATCATTGGAATACACACAAACCCTGAACAACCGTGGGTGTAGAGTCACGTCCAGGGTAGGGATTTGGGCCAGAACCCATCTACCTTGTCCTTGGAGTTGAGGACAACAGCCTGTGTGTGGGGTACACGGACCACGTGGTGGTCAAAGCCAGCAGTGGGCAGCCAGACTCGGGCAGGGAGCTTATGGTTGAGCAGGGAGAGCTCTGAGATCAGCCTCTGTGTTTTCTGCTCTTTGGTGGGGAGCGTGGCCAGCCGCTTGCCGATCGCCATCAGGGACTTGATGAATTCTCTCTCAGGAGCCAGTCGAACAGGCTACAGGGGTTTGGGGTAAGATAAAAGATGGTGAAGAAACCGTAGAATGCAACGGCCCACCCACTCAGTCACTCCTGGCCATGCAGGCCAGGGACCCCAGTGTCTGAAGAACTCCAGGAAAGGAACTGCTTTTTAGTCTTAGTAGGAGCTTCCACCCTCCCTCACAGCTTCAATTGAGAGCAGCCAGCACATTCCTTCTCTGTAGGCTATCCCTTGAGGATAAGGGAGGCCGTGGGTCCAGGTAACTGGGATGCAGCCCTCTTCTCTTGCACTTGGATTTCTTAAGGACTGTCCTAAGGCTTCAGAGTGAGCAAGGGCAACATCTGGAGAGGTTAGCCAGGGCCACAGAGAGAAGAGCTGCTTATACTTGAAGTGTCTTACCCTTCTCAAGACCGGGGTTCTTTCCCCATCTGGATCCCTGGGGCACAGCTCTGTCAAGGCCCGCAAGGCTAGAGAAGGGAGCCCCACATCAACTTTTTCACTTCCAAAGAGGGAAGATGCTTGTCATTCCAATTACTTCTGTTGATTTCCACAGTGTCCCCTGCCCTGTCCGCCCCACAATCTCTTAAAAGGCATCAATGCACATGCAAGGGATGGAAAGAGGATGAGCCGATGGGCGGATTTTGCATTAAGGAGAAAGAAAAAGCAGACAGAAGAAGGTAGGTGGATGGAGAAAGCAACAGCTCCTTTTAGCCCTTGATGATGGCCCTAAAGGCCTGTCTCTTTTAGTGACTCCTCTTTGGGTCCTCTTCCCCAACCTCTCAGTGACTAGGTTCCCATATGAATTCCCTGCTATGAGTCTGGTTCCTTGTGCTGAGCAATTCAGTCATTCTCAGAAGGGGCAAAGCTGGTCTGGGAAGGAAGGTGTAGGTGGGGAAAAGGAGGAGCTCAGCTGGACATGAAGGGCTCTCCTCCCAGTCTAAGCCCGTCTACCTGAAGGGGCATTTTATCAAGACAGTCACCCAACTCCCCAGGCCATCTCCCCTCAGCTGGACAAAAACAATCTCTCCTTGTAGAAATAGCATTTGACTCACCAAGCCTTTCTCTCCCTTTCTGTGTGTCTTCCTTAGTTTCCTGATTGAGAATTTCTATCCTTGCTCCCTCATACTCTAAAAGAAGAGCTTCTTTTGAAAACTGGGAGTACCAGGTCTACCTCTGCATGTGCAACACAGCCGTGATTCAAGGGAAGAGTTTACCCCGGCCTCTGCCCCTTGGGAGATGGCTCAGAGTACCACACAGGGAATGAAAGAGGGGGTCTGAATCCTTCAGGAATGCTTTAGGTGACATTGTTGAAAAGAGATAAAGAAAGGGAATGCAATGGAATTGGCTTCTAAGGTCCCTGGAAATGTCTTGGGGGGTCCTAATAGAGAAAGAAAAGAAGAGGAAATTTGAAGACTCACTTCTTCCTTCATCTCAGTCCACTCAGATGGCAACTGATCTCTGTCCCACGGACCCTCCACCCCAACCAATTCATCATCATCTCAGATTAGAAAAGGCAGAATTCCTTCCCATTCTCAAATCAGCATTTGGGTCAGGGGCCCCTAAGTTGCGTGCATATGTTGGAAATGTGACCCCATGCCTCAGGAGAGAGGCTCTGCCACATGGGAGGAGATAGGAATCATGACTGAGAGGGAATTAGCACAGAACATAGAAAACTGACTTGGTAGACAAATCAAATAGAAAATGTGAAAAAAATCATCCAAACTCCCAGAGGTCCTGCATTTCCTCTCGCGTCTTTGCCCAGCAACAAGGTCCAAGACCCTGTGGCACCAAAGGGTCAGGGGTTAGTCCAGAGGGAACAAGAAAGGAGAGGGGATTAAGAACATTCTGGGCAGTGAGCTGGGAAAAGGGAAGAACTCAGACCTGGAAAAAATGTGGTTGAAGTTAAAAAACAAAACCAGTTGTGAGGAGGCAAAACTGTCCTTCAGGCCAAGCCCCGTTTGTTTTTGGAGTCAGCTCACCAGCACAGGGCCTAGCATTTAGAAGACTCGGAATAAATGTTTGATAATCTAATGGCAGAAGCCATGGGGAAAGGGTTCTGGGTGAGGGAAACAGGATCCTGGGGGTTTCTGCCAGGCAGTGCTTGGCTCCAATCCAGGAGTGAATTCTACCTCTCTCCCAGCTGTTTGCTCCAGACCCTCAGGAGCTGGAGGCGGAGCAGCACTGTACTCCAGCTGTCTCTGAGAGAAGGATAACCAGAGCTCATCTCAGCCTGGGCTTGGGATTTCCTCCGCAAAGGTCAGGGGGGACTCCAGCAGATCTGGGAAGTCTGGGAGGGAGGAGCTGATCTCCCAGGAAGAAAAGGGGCATTTTAACTCCAGCCTTGGCCTGGGGGCTCAGAAGACCGGGGGACGGAGAGGAAATGCGGCCACAGGGGGAGCCTGCCACCCAGTCCCAGCCTGGCCCCACTTACGGAACTGAATGAATTATCAATACTCTCGGTGCTGGAGGAGAGCTCCTGGGAAAGGGCCAGAGGACAAAGGGAGAAGAAGGGGGTGGGAAGGGAGGGGAGAGAGACAAAGGCAAAGAATTTAGCTCCAACTTGGATCAAAACTGCTTCTCTAGTGAAGCTCTACCTTTCTGCTTTAATAAAAGAAAGTCAACTCAGAAATGCTACTTGCTCAGATGCTTGACCACTTGTGGGAGATGCTGGAAGGGCAGCTCAGACTTTAACAGGAGTGAAGAGACAAAGCAGCCTCTGCTTTTCACTTTATTCCCCTCTGTTCTCAACTCAATGGATCTTCCTTCTAGGCTAGAGCTCTGAAGCGGGGTCCCTAGGGCAGTAACTGCACTGCCAAGCTTCCCTGTTCTTTTTCTTTACCCACTCACATGCTCTCAAACAAATCCTTTTCCACGGATTTGTTCACCACAGGCCTGAACTTAAGAAGCTGCATGACTCCCATATTGGAAACCCCATGTTCCTCCAGCTTTTTGGAAACCTTAGGGAGGAAGAATACCTCTTCTCTAATTAGCCTCATTATCACCCTGGGAAGCTGAATTCCAACCTTGAACCTGTGTGACAAAGAGCATCCCAGACCTATCTATGAGCCCCAAATCTCTGGGCTGGATGCTGATGGGAGTAACGAATAAATCAATCTCCACCTACCAAACCTCCTTAGGCTTCCTATCAACGCTATCCACATGACACTCAATATATTACAACTTTTGACCTAAGTTGGGAGTTAGGTCCTAGCTATATCAATCTAGAAAGCTGACTAGCTGGATAGCAGCTGTCCTAGTCCCAGCCCAGAGGATTTATCTAAACATCACCCCATTCCTGGGTCATACGAGTGTCCATGTGCAAAACAGGGGAAAGAGACGGTATCAAACTCTCACTCAGCAGCTCTGAGGCAACGCGCATGCACAGGGCTCATCCTGGGTTCTGTCCACCACGGTCTCCCAGGGCAAGGAACGGGCAGCACGTGTGCACAAATCTAGGTTGGGGGGATGTTGGGGGTGGGTTAAGAGACAAAGTCCCAAGAGCTTCCAGGGCAGGAGGGCAGTGGTCAGTGAGTTTCTACTCTGGAATTTGCTGTGTATATTCAAGCATCCACTTGAACTCGGTTCCACGGTTTCAGTTCTATTCTAGCTGGAAGGCCTATAGTCAGGTCCTTCCTTGAAGTATCTGGGGACTGGAGCACTTTGAGGGAGAAGCCACACTTGGAAACATGCCTCTAAGGCAACAACTCTTCCATTTTGGATAGAAGGTGGTGGGAGAATTAAGGCAGTGAGGATGCCAGAGTCTATTGTGGCTTAGTGTTCAGATTCTACCTTTGAGCTGGTTGGAGTTCATAGTTCAGTATCTACCTATGAGCTGGCTGGAAAAGGAACAACAGGGAGGATATTGGCTCCCTGAGCATTGCTCCAGCAGATTCTGTCCGACAGGTCCTGTCTGACTCATTTAACAGCCTTGAGGGAAGGGAGGTGTATCATGACCTGCTTCTCTCCTCCTACTCCCTGGGCTTGTCACTCATACTGAGTAAGCTCCAGGGAATAAGGATGAAGCAGGAAGTTGACATCACACCGTATCAAGCTGGAAGGCCTACTGGGTCTTCCAGCATGACATGCCGTGTGGTTGATTTCTCTGTACAAAGGTTGCAGTCCTGAAAAGACAAAGCTAATCTACTAAGAGTGTAATTTGTGGGGTAGGGTGTGGTACCTAAATCATTCTCTCCTCCCAGCTTCCCCATTCTATACCAAAATATTTGGCATTTGGTTAAGAATGGGAGGACAAACTCCATGAGCAGAGTTCCCAGACTAGGCTGATAGAACAGCTTTGAAGCGGCAGGCTTTGAGAGCAATGGTGGAAAATGTGGAAAATCGATGCAAAGCCTTCTGACTGTGGAAGGTGGAAAGGATTCCTCACAGTAAGAAATAGAACACTCCATGAGAGCTGAACAGAGAACAGCTCTGCAGGGAGACCATGGATGGGAAGAGAACTGTACAAACTGCCCCTGAGCCTCTTCTTTGAGGCCCGATCTCACCCTTGGGAGCTGCTCTCTTGGTGGTGGGAGTATAGTATTAAACTCAGAACCTAAAAGGAAAGCAAGAGATTGTGAGCAGAGTGTTAGGGTCTACCTAGAGATTCTCCTACAGTATTTCTGCTGAGGCCTTAGATAATTAGGTGCCTCATTTTAAGTAAGCTGTATACTTCCTGCTTATGGCAGAAAACTTTTTCTTTTTTTTTTTTTAGACAGAGTTTCACTCTTGTTGCCCAGAGAGCAATGGCACGATCTTGGCTCACTGCAACCTCCGCCTCCCAGGTTCAAGCAAGTCTCCTGCCTCAGCCTCCCCAGTAGCTGGAATTTCAGGCATGAACCACCATGCCCGCTAATTTTGTATTTTTAGCAGAGACGGGGTTTCTCCATGTTGGTAGGCTGGTCTTGAACTCCCAACTTCAAGTGATCTGCCTGCCTCAGCCTCCCAAAGTGCTGGGATTACAGGTGTGAGCCACTGTGCCTGGCCTAGAAAACAACTTTTTTAAGAGTGTCACAAACTAAACAGTTCCCTAGATACTGGGGTTTTCGTTGTTACTTTACGTGTGCCTAGAGGGAAGGATAACATTTTAACCCCATCCTCCACAGCCTCTAGCACATGGCTTTGCATACTGTACAAGGTCAATAACTACATGTTGAGTGAATGAATGTTCCATGAAAGGGAAGAAGGGTGAGTAAAAAGAAAACCAATTCCTTTGGTGTTTAGGGGACAAAGACCTTGACAGACGTATCCTCAAAATGCAAAAGGGACTGGGTCTAGTCATTCATGCCTATAATCCCAGTGACTTGGGAGGCTGAGGCGAGAGGATCACTTGAAGCCAGGGGTTTGAGACTAGCTTGGGCAACAGAGTAAGACCTCATTTCTACAAAAAAAATTTTAAAAAATTAGTCAGTCATGGTGGTACAGAGCTGTAGTCCCAGGTACTTGGGAGGCTAAGGTGGGAGGACTGCTTGAGCCCTGGAGTTAAAGGCTGCAGTGAGTTACGACTGTGCCATTGCATGCCAGCTTGGGTAACAGAGCAAGACCCTGTTGCAAGAAAAAGGATGGAAGGAAGGACCGAAGGAAGGGCGGAAGGAAAGAAGGAAGGACGGATGGATGAAAGGAAGCAAAAGGGTTGGGAGAGAACCCTGTGCTGAAGACGCTAATGCTTAGGAACCTAGTGGTATTCATGTTGCTCTCTGACTCTTTCTTGCTCTTCCATTTTCTGAGGAGCTATAGTGAATTCAGGTACTTCATTCTGCCAGTATTAGATAATGCAGGAGTGCCTGGGAACATAGTATCTCCTTCCTTTCCTGGACCTAGTGACCTAAGATAAGGTATCAAATTGGGAAGAATGGCAGCTACAGAACTCACCCCAAATGATGTAAGTATTCACCTAATACCTGGCTCTCAGTGCCATCCATAATCTTATCTGGGAGTGGGACTTAGATGCAAGCAAAGAGGGACCAAGGATCAACACAGAGTAAGAAAAGTCCTGAGGCCTCAGCTTTTCTGGTCCTAAGATGAGCACTACAAAGTGGATACAGTGAAAAGCCAAGCCTGACAAGAGGCACCAAGGAGTTCACTTCCAGCTGCTCACCCTCTGCTACAGGTTTGACCCCAAGATGAAACAGCTATCCAATCCTTCATGTTCCACCAGAATCTGGATGACTCTTCTTGCTCTGCAACGACTTCCCTTCATGACCCAGGGCTCTGCTGCCAAGCTCAACCGGAAAAGAAAATGGACCATTCTAGTTCTGAGAACAGCTTGGGCTTTGCCTGTGCATGGATGTGGAAGCTTAGATAGCCATAGCTGGGCCGTTCTTCCCTACATGGCCTCTGACAGCAAGGGGGGCCTGGGAAAGTAGATACTGAGAAATAACCAAGGCAGTTCAGCTGAATGATTATGAGCACCAGCTGGAGATTTGAGTCTGACATTCACTAGTTGAGGGGCCTTAGGCAAATCATCTAATCTTTCTAAGCCTTGGTTTCCTTGTTGGTAAAATAATAGCTGTCTCTTGACATTGTAGTGAGGATTAAGTGTAAAGTCCTTGATAAGATGCCTGGTACATAAGTGCTGAATATATGTTAGCACTTTTAGATTTACCATTATTAAATTATCCTTAAAAAACTCCAAATTTCCAGAGAGCAGGCTCTATAGTCTCCCCTCCCTCCCTCTTCCTTTTCTCTAGTCATTCTGACTCCATTTGAAAAAAGTCCCACTGTATCAAAAACGTAGGTGGGTTATGTGCCCCACAGAGGCAGATGCCAGGACCATAGCTATATGCATTTTTCAAAAAGTGCGAATTCCTAGTTTTTTTTTCCCTTCTTTTCTAGGCTGGGCTGGCAGCCAGGATGGGAGCCTGGCCAATGGTGAGTCAGAAGGGAGGACTGGAGCACCATTGTCTGGCTGGGACACCAGGTCACCGACACTTGGTAGTCCACTGGGCAGCTTTACCTGCTATCTGTCCAGATGTGGAGTGAAGAGTAGGTATAACCTATTCAGGCAGTCTCCTCCTCCCTGCTCTATATCCTAAATTATACTCCAACTGCTGCTGGAGCTTCCTCTTTTTCCCAGCCTCCAGGTCCTTGACCAGGCACTAGATTTACTCTATACTAAGAGTGCTTTCTCCTCCCTTTGTGCTTCTCCCAAATGGTATGGGAAAGACACCAGCAAGGCACTCTCCCCCACAAGGAAAGCAGGCATGAAGGCATTCTGCAGATGCCTCAGTGATAGAGAATGAACCTTCCACTTATGTCAACAAAAGGCAGGATCTTCAGGGGGTAGAGAAAAGGGATTAGATTATGAGGAGGAGTGACCAGGAGAATGAAGCTGATGTTCTGTCTGACATCTCCCCTACCCCAGCACACACAAAGACAATAGCACCTTTCCTTTCCCAGGGATGCTGCTCTGAGGTCAGGGTGTGGTGGGCTTCTGCCACAGTCCTCATTAACACAGTAGGTATTAATGGAATGGCAGTGCAGTTTAATTTTTTTGAGACAAAGTCTTACTCTGTCGCCCAGGATAAACTGGCACATTCTCTGCTCACTGCAACCTCCACCTCCTGGGTTCAAGTGATTCTCCTGTCTTAGCCTCCCGAGTAGCTGGGATTACAGGCGCCTGCCACCACGCCAGGCTAATTTTTGTATTTTTAGTAGAGACAGAGTTTCGCCATGTTGGCCAGGCTGGTCTCAAACTCCTGACCTCAAGTGATCTGCCCACGTCAGCCTCCCAAAGTGCTGGGATTACAGGCGTGAGCCACTGTGCCCAGCCAGAGCAGTTTAATGAAAATTATTTGAGACACAAGTCGGGAGCATCAGCCTTGCCATGACCTACATGACCTGAGGCAAGTCACTTTATTTCTCTGGGTCTGAGTTCTTCCTTTGTAAAATAAGGTGGTTGAAATACATGAATTCTAAGGTCTTTTTTCATCCTAATACTCCATGCTTTTATAAGTGAAATGAAACAGAGGGAGGACAGGAAGAACGGCGTAAGTAACCCTGTATGTATATAGGAGGCATCCTGTCTCCATGCAGCCCTCTTCCACCTTTCGTCTCTGGCACTCCCCAGAATTTTACCTCATCCTCATTCTCCACTTTAGGGTTGCTGGCTGTTCGTTTCAGGTTGCTGCTGAGACTTATGCTGGCGGTGGCATCTGACTTAGAGCGCTGGTGAGTCCTTTTAGAGGGAGACAGCCCTGTGTCAGGGGCTGGGCTTAAGGAGGGCAGCTCCCTCTTTCTGTGAGCTGGCTTCAGCTCATCTGAGAGGATCAGCTTCCGTAGCTTGGTCCCACGGGAGTGTCGCTGAGTGGAAATGTGCATGTCTGAAGAGTAGGCCCCGAGCAACAGGGCACACTGGAGGGAAAAGTTAATGCTCTGGCGGCAACGGTAGACTATGTAGGGCTTAATGGCATCACCCACGTCCTCATCCATGTGGATGTACATGTTAAGCAACTGGGGTAGATAGAAGTCCACGTCCTCATTGCGAAAGCAGAAGAGCCGGTTGCCGATGTAGGCTTGTACTCCAGGCTCCTTGGAGTTATACAGGTATGAAATGGCCATGGAGATGTCAAACAGTTTTGACTCAAACAGCCTCAGCAGCCAAGACTGTTTAGCCGAGTTGTTCTGCCGCCGTCTTCTTGCTCCTTTGGCTGTGCCTGAGGCCACAGTGGCTCCCATCTCATCTTCCTCCTCCCTGATCTGGGCAGGTGGATCATCCAGACAACGGATCTCACTGTCCACACCATCCCCATTGACCAATTCCAGTGGGGCGCCTCTGCTAGAGACTGCCACGCCTCCATGCAAAAGCTTGACTTTCTCCAACACATCCTGGCAGGCCTTCTGGGCCACCTCAGGGTCAATCACTGATAGTTCCCCGACCCCCTCCGTGATGACACTTAGCAGGGACCCCCCATTATTCCCTGGTGGGCCAGAAGTGGGCTCAGAAGTTGGCTTCAGCGGGGCAGGCTCCACTACTGTATCTCCCATGGCCACAGCCAGACTTCGAGCTTTCAAGCTACAGGAAGAGGGAGGGAGAAAAGAACAGAAAGGGAGATACATAAACATACTGATTAGTGGTGCCATCCTCAGGTCTCCCCTTTGCTATGACACCTTCCCACGTACCTCCTCTTTCTGTCTTCCTGGACTCCTTCAAAATCACATGAGAAGGCATCTCCCAGGAAGCTTTTCTGACTACCTCCACTTCTGATTACATTATTCGTCATTCCTCCTGTACTTACTCAGCTTAGCCTATGTTCTTAGCTTATATATGTGAAATATTGTTTTGTATATGTTGTATTTATATAGATTACAAATTCTCTCTTTTTTTTTTTTTTTGAGATAAGGTCTTACTCTGTTACCCAGGCTGGAGTGCAGTGGTGTGATCTTGGCTCATTATCCAACCTTGACCTCCTGAACTCAAGCAAGTCTCACCTCACCTCCCAAGTAGCTGGGACCACAGGTGCACACCACCATGCCTGGATTATTTAAAAATTTTAAATCTTATTATTTCTGAGACAGGGTCTTGCTCTGGTGCCCAGGCTGGAGTGCAGTGGCACGATTAGAACTCACTGTAGCCTTGATTTTCTGGGCTCAAGCAATCCTGCCACCTCAGCTTCCCAAATATCTGGGACTACAGGCTTGTGCCACCATGCCTGGTTAATTTTTTTTTTTTTTTTTTTTTTTTTTTTTTGGAGACGGAGTTTCGCTCTTGTTACCCAGGCTGCAGTGCAATGGCGCGATCTCGGCTCACCGCAACCTCCGCCTCCTGGGTTCAGGCAATTCTCCTGCCTCAGCCTCCTGAGTAGCTGGGATTACAGGCACGCGCCACCATGCCCAGCTAATTTTTTGTATTTTTAGTAGAGACGGGGTTTCACCGTGTTGACCAGGATGGTCTCAATCTCTCGAGCTCGTGATCCACCCGCCTCGGCCTCCCAAAGTGCTGGGATTACAGGCTTGAGCCACCGCGCCCGGCTAATTTTTTTTTTTTTTTTTTTTGAGACAGAGTTTCGCTCTTCCTACCCAGGCTGGAGTGCAATGGCGCGATCTCGGCTCACTGCAACCTCCGCCTCCTGAGTTCAGGCAATTCTCCTGCCTCAGCCTCCTGAGTAGCTGGGATTACAGGCACGCGCCACCATGCCCAGCTAATTTTTTGTATTTTTAGTAGAGACGGGGTTTCACCGTGTTGACCAGGATGGTCTCGATCTCTCGAGCTCGTGATCCACCCGCCTCGGCCTCCCAAAGTGCTGGGATTACAGGCTTGAGCCACCGCGCCCGGCTAATTTTTAAAATTTTTCTGTACGGACAAGGTCTCGCTGTGTTGCCCAGGCTGGTCTTGAACTAAGCTCAAGCAACCTTCCCTCCTCAGACTCCAAAAGTGTTGTAATTACAGGCATGAGCCATCATGCCCAGTGATTTACAGACTCTTTGGGTAGACTGAGGAGCAACTCAGGCCTTATTCCCTTGTTTCCTAGCTCTTCAATTACTTGTCTATCCTCTTGCTCTTCCTGTTTCCCTTTAAATGCCTGCCATAACCTTATTTTCCCCCTCTTTACACTATATTTCCTTACTCACATGACATTCTAGACACAGGTCCTGTGCATCTCACCTTCATTTTTATTTTTTAAAGACAAATCTTGCTCTGTTGCCCAGGTTGGAGCGCAGTGGCAAGATCATAGCTCACTGTAATCTTGAACTCCTAGGCTCAAGGCATCCTCTTGCCTCAGCCTCCCTCGTAGCTAGGACTACAGGTGTGTGCCACCATGCTCAGCTAATTTAAATTTTTTTTTTTTTTTTTTTTTTACAGATGGGGTCTTGCTGTGTTGCCCAAGCTGGCTTTGAACTCCTGGCCTCAAGCAATTCTCCTGCCTCAGCCTCCCAAAGCACTAGGATTACAGGTGTGAACCACCATGCCCAGCCATCTTTATTTAATATTAAAGTCTTGATATATTTTTCTAGTTACAGGTATTTATCTTCCCTTTTAAACTCAAAGCTCCCAGAAAATAAAGGCCAGCAAATACCATGCCAGGCTTCACATAGAAGAAAGCAGCTTCAAAACAACCATCATCAACCCCACCAAAGCTGTGACATTTCTCTGGTTGTCTGACATCATGCCATTACACCCTCTTTCTTCAGTGCTGTGGCTGCTGACATATAATGGAAAGAGCTCTGGACTTGAAAGCAAATAGGCTGGGGTTCAAGATCCTCACTCACTCAGCCTTTCAGCAATCTACAACTTATGCAAGCCATGTATCCTCAACTGCAAATTTTAGAAAAAACATTTACTTCTCATTGTTGCTGTGTGGAACAAATACCATCATGTGTATGAAAGAATCTAGCACAGTCCCTGGTACATAATAGTACTCAAATGCTAGTTAAGGCTGGGCGTGGCAGCTCATGCCTGTAATCCCAGCACTTTGGGAGGCAGAGGTAGGTGGAACAGTTTGAGGTCAGAAGTTCAAGACTAGCGTGGACAATATGGCACAACCGTCACTACTAAAAATAAAAACATGAGCCAGGTATGGTGGTGCGTGCCTTGTAATCCCAGCTACTCAGGAGGCTGAGGAAGGAGAACTGCTGGCACCCAGGAGGCGGAGGCTGCAGTGAACCGAGATTGTGCCATTGTACCAGGCAGAGTGGCTTACGCCTATAATCCCAGCACTTTGGGAGGCCGAGGTGGGCGGATCTCTTGAAGTCAGGAGTTTGTGACAAGCCTGGCCACCATGGTGACCGTGGCTTTGTTTCTACTAAAAATACAAAAATTAGCTGGGCGTGGTGGCACACGCCTGTAATCCTAGCTACTCAGGAGGTACTCGCGCCACTGCACTCCACCCTGGGCAACAGAGTGAGACTCCATCTCAAAAAAAAAAAAAGAAAAGAAAAGAAAAGGAAATGCTAGTTGAATCCTAATCACCTAAAAGGTTACTTACCAGTGTGTGTGTAACATAAAACTTATATTGTTTTCTAAGGGAAGCAAAGAGTTCCAATTGTTTGAGAATCTTCCAAAAACACTTATGATGGCCTTCTCTACCCTAATACCACTCCCCACACTGTCATACACACACTCTAACAACTGGAGGGGCTGTGAAAAGGCAAAAAGAAATCAGCCTAGGACTCATAGATCTAGGCCTTTCACAGACCATAAGAGTCACAAAACAAAGAACACCTCCTCTGGAGGGACTGTTGGAAGGAAGTTCGGTGAGAGAACGCTGCTGACCAAAGCCACTGCTCTCCAAGAGCAATTCTTCAGAGCCTCACCAAATCTGGAATCAGTGCAGAATGGGGGAAATTTCATCAGATCAACCTGGCTCCAGAATATGACTATAGCTAACATAGGACTCAGAGGCCTCTTCACAAAAATGCTAATAGTGAGTCTAAGACACACTCAAGAGCATGAGCAAGAGGAAGCATTTTGTAGAGCTGGAATCAAGTAATTTCCAAATATTAGTGACATCACCTTCAACCCTGGTGACCCTAGATGCACATACTTTGGGTAAGGGGAATAAGGAGGCCTATCGATTCTTCAGTCACTCTGGGAGGCTGTTTTCCACCACCCCCCTTCCAATATCTCTTCTTGTACCTCTGAAATGTTAAGGTTACTTTTAACTGCCCAGTATCCTATAGTCCAGCTCCCTGCCTCCCAGAACTCACCACTAAGGTTTTGCAGAAAGACGGATGGGGAACTCCTTTGTTCTCAGAGATCACCAAAAAAGGCTACTTCTGTTTCTTTCTACCAACTCTGCCAAGCAAATTCATTCCTGAATTTCATAGCCCTGATGCAGCTTGAGCTTGGTACTGGTAAGAAGGTGGCAACTCTTTCACTATGCTCTTTCCCAAAATTAGGCAGTGCTCTAAGCAGCAGAACCAGCATGGCTGTGGATCTGTCTCTACTCGCAACTGTGAGTTGCACAGGAATAGTAAGAAGGAAGCTTTAATCATTCCCTGCCACACCTTCGTAGGGCACTCTCATCAGAAGGTCACTGATTCAACCAGGACCACTACCTTTTAGGTCTGCTTAGAGACTCACGTGATAGCCTTAATCATCTTAAACAGTCAACTGCTTTTTCTCAGTCTGTTTGGTACATCCTTTCCCTTCCCTCTACTCCACTGACTTCTAAGTCATTGAAAGCTCCTAGAAGTCCACTTTTCAGAACTTACTTTCTTTTTTTTTTTAAGACAGGGTTTCACCATGCTGGTCAGGCTGGTCTTGAACTCCCAACCTCAGCTGATCTGCCTGCCTTGGCCTCCAAAGTGCTTGGATTACAGGCGTGAGCCACTGCGCCCGGCCCACCTTTCAGAACTTTCAAGGGGAATGCAATTCAGATATTTTCCCACATATAGTGTCTCAGACCTCACTAAAAAATTCAGCAGTTCCCTGCTCCAGTTAATTACAATTGGGATTATTGCTGGCACCAGAGAGGCAAATAAGGATACTATCACCTCTTTTATCTCACAGGCAAAAGAAAAACTTCCAGGCTTAGCTAAGAATCCCACATCACAGTATTCAGAGGATTTAGCTACTGAACAGACTCTGTCACTCAGATGCTTTTACTCCTCAGGAAGCCAGACAATGTTGAGAGGTGCAGGAAAAACAGACTCCTCTCCTACATAAGCAGTTCTACCACCAAATGAGCTGGGCCTCTTCCCTGGCCCCTCAGGAACCCAGACACTGCCTGCATCTGAAGCAAGTCGTATGGAGAAGGTGTTGAGGGGAGTAGGGTTAGATTGCTTTAGTTATTTATTATTTTATTACTATTATTTTTATTTTACTTAGTTTATTATTTTTTGAGATGGAGTCTCGCTGTGTCACCCAGGCTGGAGTGGAGTGCAGTGGCGCGATGTTGGCTCACTGCAACCTCTGTCTCCCGGGTTCAAGTGATTCTCCTGCCTCAGCCTCCCAAGTAGCTGGGATTACAGGCACCCACGACAGTGCCTGGCTAATTTTTGTATTTTCTGTAGAGATAGGGTTTCATCATGTTGGCCAAGCTAGTCTCAAACTCCTGACTGACCTCAGGTGACCTGCCCGCCTCGGCCTCCCAAAGTGCTGGGATTACAGATGTGAGCCACCACACCCAGCCTTATTTTTATTTTATTTCAATTTTTTTAAAGTCAGGGTTTCACTCTGTTGCCCAGGCTGGAGTGCAGTGGTGTGATCTCAGCTCAGGGCAAACTCTACCTCCCAGGCTCAAGCAAATCTCGTGCCTCAGCCTCCTGAGTAGCTGGGATTGCAGGCATGTACCTCCATGCGCAGCTTGTTTTTTGTTTTTGTTTTTGTTTTTGAGATGGAGTCTCACTCTGTCACCCAGGCTGGATTGCAGTAGTGTGATCTTGGCTCACTGCAACCTCCGCCTCCTGGGTTCAAGTGATTCTCCTGCCTCACCTTCCCAAGTAGCTGGGATTACAGGCACACACCTCCATGCCTGGATAATTTTTGTATTTTTAGTAGAGATGGGGTTTCACCATGTTTGTCAGGCTGGCCTCAAACTCCTGACCTCGTGATCTGCCCACCTTGGCCTCCCAAAGTGTTGGGATTACAGGCGTGAGTCACTGTGCCTGGCCTATTTTTGTGTTTTTAGTAGAGATGGGGTTTCACCATGTTGGCCAGGCTGGTCTTGAAATCCTGACCTCAGGTGATCCACCCAACTTGGCCTCCCAAAGTGCTGAGATTACAGCCATCAGCCACTGCGCCTGGTCTTTTTTTTTTTTTTTTTTTTTGAGACAGGGTCTGGTTCTGTTGCCCAGGCTGGAGTGCAGGGGTGAGATCACAGTTCACTGCAGCCTTGACCTCCCAGGCTCAAGTGATCCTTCCTCCTCAGCCTCCCAAGTAACAGGGACTATAGGCACGCACCACCACACCCAGTTAATTTTTGTAATTTTTTTGGTAGAGACAAGGTCTCAGCTGGGCGCGGTGGCTCACGCCTGTAATCCTAGCACTTTGGGAGGCCGAGGTGGGTGGATCACCTGAGGTCAGGAGTTCAAGACCAGCCTGGCCATCATGGTGAAACCCCATCTTAAAAAAAAAAGGTCTCGCCATGTTGGTCACAAACTCCTGGGCTCAAGTTATCTTCCCATCTCAGCCTCCCAAAGTGCTAGGATTACAGGCATGACCTACCATACCCAGCCTGCTTTAGCAATTGAAATAACACAAAATAGGAAAGGGATTCTCCAAAACCTAAATCCAGATATGGTTCTCAACATCAGTTCATTCATTTTCTTTATTTTTTTAATTAAAAAAAATATTTTATAGACACAGGGTCTCACTGTTGCTCAGGCTGGTCCTCAAATCTGAGCCTCAAGCAACTGGCCTCCCAAAGTGCTGGGATTACAGGTGTGAGCCACCTTGCCCAGCCTGATTCATTTATTTTTGAATGTAAAGAAAATATGTCTTTGAAGGTAACTGTTCTAAAGAAAGTGAACGGACTAGAAAGCAAAAGTTAAAGTGAAGGAAAAAGTCCTGTATTCGACATCCTTCCCCTTCTAAGTCAGAGGAATAAGAAAAAGTGACAGAAGGCAATCCAAATTTTTAATTTTTTTTTTTTTTTTTTTTTTTTTTGAGACGGAGTTTCGCCCTTGTTACCCAGGCTGGAGTGCAATGGCGCGATCTCGGCTCACTGCAACCTCCGCCTCCTGGGGTCAGGCAATTCTCCTGCCTCAGCCTCCTGAGTAGCTGGGATTACAGGCACGTGCCACCATGCCCAGCTAATTTTTTTGCACTTTTAGTAGAGACGGGGTTTCACCATGTTGACCAGGATGATCTCGATCTCTCAACCTTGTGATCCACCCGCCTCGGCCTCCCAAAGGGCTTGGATTACAGGCTTGAGCCACCGCGCCCGGCCCCAAATTTTTAATATTAAATGACTCCTATGGCCTTCAAGAGGGTTCAGACAGCTGAGGCTCTACACTTCACACTGGGAACCTAAATGATCTTTCCAGACAGACTCAAAGGGAAATGGAAGATACCTCTCCTGTTCCACAGACTAACTAACAGCTGGCCCCTAGGAAAGTGGGACGGAAGATGGGAGTGTTGACAACTGACGGGGTTCCACAGCTCCCATCTGGGCAAAGTAGAGAATTCTGGTCTGAGTGACAAGGAGTTGTTGCAGGTCAGGCAGAGCAGCAGCTGAAGAAGACAGAGAAGATATACACATATGTTCTGTGTGACTGAGCAGTTAAATACATGTCTGCAGAGGGAGATGTTAGAAGCATCTGTGAGAAGGAGATGCTATCGCTTAACCTAGCTTCCCATTTCTTATCACCTCAAAAGATTCCAGGCAAACAACCTTCCACTGGCCTCCATTAAAGGACTTATTGGATTGGTCTCTGCTAGGACAGAATGGTAAAAAGCCCAAAATCAATCCTCTCTCACCATTCTCTTCTTCAAATCTTTTTCCATGGACTATATAAATATGGATTGGTTTGGGGCAATTCTGATATTTTTATGCTCCTGTATTTTCAAAGAATGGCTTTAAGAGATCATTTATTTGATCTAGTGCCCCGCCTCCAAGCAGGCAGGCAGGCTCAATTTTCCTCCTTTTAAAGGATCCTTTGCCAGGAGCTGTCATTCCAACAGTTTGGAAGGCCAAGGCAGGCAGATCACCAGAGGTCAGGAGTTCAAGACCAGCCTAACCAACATGGAGAAACCTACAAAATTCGCCAGGCATGATGGCACATGCCTGTAATCCCAGCTACTCAGGAGGTTGAGGCAGGAGAATCGCTTGAACCTGGGAGGTGGAGGTTGCGGTGACACAAGATTGTGCCATTACACTCCAGTCTGGGCAACAAGAGCAAAACTGTCTCCAAAAAAAAAAAAAAAAAAAAAGAATCCTTTATTTCTCCTACCCCTTGCCTTTTTTTTCTTTTTTAAGAGACAAGCTCTTACTCTGTTGCCCACATTGGAGTGCAGTAGTGTAATCATGGCTCTCAACAGCCTCAAACACCTGGGCTCAAGTGACCGTTCCACCTCAGCCTACAGAGGAACAGGGACTATAGATGTGTGCCATCATTTCCCATTAATAAAAAAAAAATTTTTTTGGGCCGAATGCGGTGGCTCATGCCTGTAATCCCAGCACTTTTGAGAGGCCAAGGTGGGCAGATCACAAGGTCAGGAGATTGAGATCTTCCTGGCCAACATGGAGAAACCCCATCTTTACTAAAAATACAAAAAAACTAGCTGGGTGTGGTGGCATGTGCCTGTAATCCCAAATACTCGGGAGGCTGAGGCATGAGAATTGCTTGAATCCAGGAGGTGGAGGTTGCAGTGAGCCAAGATTGCCCCATTGTATTCCAGCTGGCAACAGAGCAAGACTCCATCTCAAAAAAAAGAAACAGGGTCTTGGGCCGGACGCGGTGGCTCACGCCTGTAATCCCAGCACTTTGGGAGGCCGAGGAGGGTGGATCACTAGGTCAAGAGATCGAGACCATCTTGGCCAACATGGTGAAACCCCGTCTCTACTAAAAATACAAAAAAAATTAGCCGGACGTGGTGGCACATGCCTGTAATCCCAGCTACTTGGGAGGCTGAGACAGAAGAATTGCTTGAACCCAGGAGGTGGAGGTTGCGGTGAGCCGAGAATGCGCCATTGCACTCCAGCCTGGGCAATAAGAGCGAAACTCTGTCTCAAAAAAAAAAAAAAAAAAAAAAAGAAACAGGGTCTCACTATGTTACTCTAAGAAGCAAGCAGGGAAACGAGGGGAAATGTGATTTCTGGTTGGAGATGCTTCCAAGGAGGAAAGCTGCTTCCTGGCCTCAAGCCCTGCCTGGGTTTTCCAAAGTGCTGAGATTACAAGGCATGAGCCACCACGCTTAGTCTCCTCTATCTTTTTTTCATACATTTCATGATCCTTTGAGATGGATCCACAAGAGATGGAAAAATGGGTAAGGAAACTGGTATCTGACATTCATCCTACAAGGTGAATTAAGAGAGACTGCCAAAAGTTAATGGAAAAGAAAGGGAGGTTCAAATATACTAAATATTATTTAAAGTTACACAGATGTCCAGTAGAAAAAAACAAAAATAATGACATAATTATATAAATGAGAGGCATATCTTCCTTTTTTTTTTTTTTTTTTTTTTTTTTTGAGACAGAGTTTCGCTCTTGTTACCCAGGCTGGAGTGCAATGGCACGGTCTCGGCTCACCGCAACCTCCGCCTCCTGGGCTCAGGCAATTCTCCTGCCTCAGCCTCCTAAGTAGCTGGGATTACAGGCATGTGCCACCACGCCCAGCTAGTTTTTGTATTTTTAGTAGAGACGGGGTTTCACCATGTTGACCAGGATGGTCTCGATCTCTCGACCTCGTGATCCACCCGCCTCGGCCTCCCAAAGTGCTGGGATTACAGGCTTGAGCCACCGCGCCCGGCCTTCTTTTTTTTTTTGAGACAGAGTCTTACTCTGTCACCCAGGCTGGAGTGCAATGGCATGATCTTGGCTCACTGCAATGTCCACCTCGTGAGTTCAAGTGGTTCTCCTTCCTCAGCCTCCCAGGTAGCTGAGACTATAGGCACGTGCCACCACACCTGGCTAATTTTTTTTTTTTAGTAGATATGGGGTTTCACTGTGTTAGCCAGGATGGTCTCAATCTTCTGACCTCGTGATCTGCCCACCTCGGCCTCCCAAAGTGCTGGGATTACAGGTGTGAGCCACCACCCCAGCCTGAGAGGTATATCTTCTAAAGATAAATCCTTGTTTATAACAGTAAGTAAATTAATAGAGGAACAAACATTTTATCTAAAGCTATGGTGATAACCTTCAGAACTAAACACTGAGATAATTAAAGAGGTTAACTCAGAGAATAGGTGTAGCAAAGAATGGAAATAGGACTGTTGGTTTTGTTCATCAACTCTTTTAGTACTATTGGATTTGTTACCAAATGAATACATTCCTGCAAAAAAAAATTTTTTTTGAGACAGAGTCTGGCTTTGTCACTCAGGCTGGAGTGCAGTGGTGCCATCTCAGCTCGCTGCAACTTCCGCCTCCTGGGTTCAAGCAATTATCTGCCTCAGCCTCCCAAGTAGCTGGGATTACAGGCACCTGCCACCACATTCAGCTAATTTTTGTATTTTTAGTAGAAACGGGGTTTCACCATGTTGACCAGGCTGGTCTCAAACTCCTGACCTCAAGTGATCCCCCTACCTCGGCCTCCTGAAGTGTTGGGATTACAGGCATGAGCCACGGCTCCCAGCCCAAAAATAATTTTTTTTTTTTGAGACGGAGTTTCGCTCTTGTTACCCAGGCTGGAGTGCAATGGCGCGATCTCGGCTCACCGCAACCTCCACCTCCTGGGCTCAGGCAATTCTCCTGCCTCAGCCTCCTGAGTAGCTGGGATTACAGGCACGCGCCACCATGCCCAGTTAATTTTTTGTATTTTTAGTAGAGACGGGTTTCACCATGTTGACCAGGATGGTCTCGATCTCTCGACCTCATGATCCACCCACCTCGGCCTCCCAAAGTGCTGGGATTACAGGCATAAGCCACGGCTCCCAGCCCAAAAATAATTTTTAAAGAGAGGCTGCTCCTCAAGAGACTCCATATCTCTGGCTGCCTGTTCTGCTGTTGAGAAGTTCCTCCTCATGTCTTTAGGTCTAATTCAAACCTTTCTTTAAGGATGTCTCAACTTATCTCTCCCCTCTGACCTCAATGGTAAAGGTAGAGATTGAGTACTCCTTTTTCCTTAAAGAAACTCAGGGCCAAGCAGTCAAGCCAGCTCCAGCCCTACCAGGATCCAGGTAAATGCTGACAACGGGGCCCCAGAAGGTGGGGGCATTAGGGGAGAGGGCATTCTCAAGCTACTAGCAGGAGAGTAGGGAGGGCAGTGGTCTCATGGTAGTTAAGTCAATATTGAATCAGGCTGAGAACTCCCTGTGTAAAGCAGTGGAGCTGGTATAGGCAGATTCCAGCCAGACAGCCCAGGCTAGCTCTGGAGCCGCTACTGAAACAGACAGATGGCAAAGAAAGCAACCTGTGCACTCACCTCTCTCTGAATTGTTCCTCCCTACTGCGAGTCCCAAATACACTTGAACTGGGTCCCCTCTTGTCCCATGCCAATTATTGAAGGGTTCCTCCTGAACCTCTTTCCCACATCAAAGAATCTCAACTTGCTGCTTTGGATGGTGTTCAGCAAACTTATTCTCATGGAGTGTGGACCCAACTCTAGGAAGAAAGCAGGGAAATGAGAGGAAATATGATTTCTGGTTGGGGATGCTTCCACGGAGGAAAGCTTCTTCTTCCTTTTTTTTTTTTTTTTTTTTTTTGAGACGGAGTCTCACTCTGTTGCCAGGGGAGTGCAGTGGTGCAATCTCGGCTCACCACAACCTCCAACTCCCTGGTTCAAGCATTTCTCCTGCTTCAGTCTCCTGAGTAGCTGGGATGACAGGCATGTGCCACATGCCAAGCTAATTTTTTTGTATTTTTAGTAGAGACGGGGTTTCACCATGTTGGCCAGAATGGTCTCGATCTCCTGACCTTGTGATCTGCCCGCCTCAGCATGAGCCACTGGCCCAGCCAGAAAGCTTCTTCTAATAAGGGGTATTATAAGGAGACTGCACCGTGGCTAACAACAAGAAGAGAAGGGAGAAGTGGGATAAGATGACATAACTACTCCCAAACTGGCCTAGAATCAGAAAATGAATGGAATCTCATGTGCCCTTTCGCTATCACAGGCCACAAGAGACATGGCAGCAATTCACTGCCTAAGTCCCAGTTCACTGCAAGTTCTCCTTTCCAGCCAGCTTCCTCAAAGCACTTTCCCACAAACACACTTTCCACCTACAGAATCTGGAGTTATGGATCAAGTACATGAGGAACAGCAAAGAAAATCAGCCACTTAACACTCTGGGGGGAAAAGCAAAGCCGATGAAAGAAGCAGGCCTGGAGCTTGTCTTTCAAAATGACTTACACCCCTGGTTGTAGGCTAGAAACATCCTACAGAAAGATCAAGTTGAAGGAAAACTCTGAGGATGACTAAACCACTACTAATAAACACCTTTTGCCCGAGGAACCCAAAATATTTTGTAAACAAATAAACCGATTCTGATTTTTTCCCCTCAACCCACATCCTGCTACCAATTTTATTACTGCACTGATGCCTATAGACAGCGGGCCATTTTCCAAAAGGATCACTCTAGAGGTCAAGTGAGGAAGTCACATGCTGAAAGCAGGAGTCCTGATTCTGAATGTATAAGCTCTTTCCATTGTCTCATGTTCCTTTTTCCAGCTACACCCTTACCCCTCTCCAGGCCTGAGATCTTATGGAACCAACCAAAACTATTCTAGTAAACCACAGACAGTAAACTGATTCCTCATGGATCTGGACAGCGGTGGGAAGGCACTCTACTCTGTGATTCCTTTAACAAAAGCCTAAAATTAAATAATTTGCAACAAGCTTTCTCATAATCTCATTCAGTTTCCAGGCAGGCCTGTTCGTCCCTCCTAGCGGCTGCTCCTGAGTTAGTCAACCAAGTGTAATCTGATAGGGACTTCTTCAAAACTTGCTCCAGCCTTCAGCAACACCCTTCTGTCCTGAACAGCCTGAGGCAGCTGAGGCTCCCCCTGCTCCCAACACATTTTTCTTCTCAGTTCAAGGTGTAGTTGATCCTGAAATGAAGTTATGTGGAGAGAAAGAGTGTGATAAGAGAACGCGTGAAGACCACAGGGAAAAGACAACCAAGTACACAAGGATCAGCAAAATCCCTGCCGCTCGAGGGGGATGTCAGAGTTGGAAATCCTGAATGGGAAGGGCACTCAGATCTCTCCCCTGCAAACAGAAATCTCCAGAAGGCTGGGGGACTGAGGAGGGAGGAAGAGAAGATGAAGAAAGTTATACAGGGATCATAATGCATCCCAGAGAAAGGTGAGGACGAGGTTTGAAGTTAAGAATGTAAATGGTACTTTGGGACTGATGACAAGGGCCCGAGATCCCTTAAGGAGAAGGGAACAGGCAATTCTTGGAAGCCAGGAGCTGGCTGGGTGGGTGGGTGACGGTGAGGTAATGGAATCAGAAGCAGCACAGGAAGACACGGATACAATCTTCAGCTCAGGGAAACGGGAACCCAGTGCTGGGGTTGCACGGGCACCTCGGAGGAAAAGGGCAAACTAGGAAAAAGAGAGAAACGTGGGGTCCATGGAAGAGGTTTGGGGCAGAGGCAGAGACGGCGAGGAAGGACAAGGATGGGCATGATGGAAATCGTCTCATGTGGAAAGCGTTCGTGACTTAAAAAAGAATAATTCGAGACGTAGGCAACAGGGGTTAAGAGGGAGGGAGGGGGGAATCCCCGAGGCAGAGGGAGGAGCTAAATAGAAGAGGAAGCCAAAAAGCAGAGGAGGACCCCAGGCCTGAGAGCGGAGGGTGGAGGAGGAACCCGGAGTGCAGCTGACACCAAGAGGGCTGTTTCGTAGTCGGACAGAGTGGGAGAGGGACCCCCCCCCCTCGCCACGCAACAGGGCAAAGGTGACACATGGGGGAGAAGCAGCTTACCTCTGGGGGACCCCCGCGGAGGGGGTGCGGGCAGTCGGGGTCGGACTGCCGACACCGACGCCTCAGCAGCAGCGACCGCTCCCGGGTTCCATTGGCCGCCTGCGCTTCCCTGACAGCGGCCGCGGCGGCTGCACCAGGCCCCGGCTGCGGGGCTGCCCGCGGCGCCGCCTGAGGGGGCCTTCAGGCTGCCACAAGTTCGACGGGGCGACACAATCTCCTCTTCCTCCCTCAGTACAACCAAGCCCCAAACAATAATAAAATAATATAAAATAAAATTCCCCAGAAGGTCTCGATGTCGGATTCTTCTCCTGAGTCCAAGCCCGTCTTCCCAGGCTATGCTTTCCTGCGTCCCCAACGCTCAGGACCCTACCGATCCCATAGTAATCTAAGGAGTCGGGTGAGCTGCCCGGAACATGCCTGTTCAAAAATAGAAAAGGGGGCGGGGAAAAGATGTTTGGAAGCTCGCGAGGGAGAGAGGGCGAAGGGAGGAGCTTACGGGTGGGAGGCGGGGCCGGTCTTTAAGAAGAGGACCTCAGAGCTAGCGTTTGCGAGGCTGCAGAAGCCGAGAGAGAAGTAAAATTTGCTGCAAAAGTAGGGTGAGCAGGCGGGCGTGGGTGCCGTGTTAGAGAAGCATGGACATATTGCAGACTTCCAGAAGTACATTAACATTCAAATTTTATGTAAATGACCGTTTGAATTACCAACCGAGTTACCGTAATGACAGTCAATGACTTCCCCCTTCCCTATGCTACAAGATTCCCTTAGTAAATCAGGCCGTGGGATAGACGCTGGGTTCCCAGGAGGCCGAACAGAAAGAGAGACGGCGGACGGGGGAGATGTTCGCCCTCAGTGCCCTTTTCCTACTCATCTTTGACGGCGATGCGGAGATTACGCCCCTTAACGCTTCGGGAATGGCGCGGTCCAACCGCGTCAATCTTTCGCCGTTAGAGGCCCGACTCGAGGGCGTGGTTCTGCCTCCGAGGTCACCACCTGCCGGGGCAGCCCGTGGCCTCCAGCATCCATACGCCGAGCTCTCCAGGGAGGGGCCGGACAGGGCCAGGTTGGGAGAGGTGAGTGAAATGACGAAGGCTTGGAGGGCACAATCCCTTCTTCCAGAAAAAACGAAACCCTGTTAAACCAAACAAATAAAAAAAAAAAACACGCCATGCAAATGGGCCTCTGGTGTTGCTTTTGTGTATGTGTTAGTGTCTTGTAAATGTTGCCTTGCTATGTTGCCCACGCTGGTCTCGAACTGCTAGCCTCCAGCAATCTGCTGGCCTCAGGTACCAAAGTGCTGGGATTATAGGCCTGAGACACCTCGCCTAGCCAGTTTTGTGTATTTTTCGGTTAACATTGTTGATTTAGAGCTCTCTTTTTTTAAAATTTATTTATTTATTTATTTATTTATTTATTTATTTATTTATTTTAAAGATGGGGTTTCACCATGTTGGTCGGGCTGGTCCTGAACTCCTGACCTCAGTTGATCCTCCCGCCTTGGCCTCCAAAGTGCTTGGATTACAGGCGTGAGCCACTACACCCCGGCCGATTTAGAGCCCTCTTTGTCTTCAGAACCTCTATCTCAACGCCTTTCCTAGGGCTTTACTTAATATGCAATGCCCCTCCTTAGGGCCTTACATAATACATTGAGGCTAGTTATTTGAGCCCAGGTCTTGAATGCCATCTTCCCTGCCACTTACAAGCTGTTTGATTTGGAATAACTAATGTAACCTCTTTGAACCTCAGTTTCCATGTCTACAAATAAAGCATATGAAGTAATATTAATACATTACAAGATTTTGTGAGGATCAAGAGGGCACAAGTTACTACTATAGTACTTTGTTATTAATTGCTGGGACAATAGTGTAGGATAGATGATGAAAGAGTCATTGCTACAATGTTTAATTGTGAGGCAGAATAAAGTATAATAGCTTGAAAATGCCTGTGTAAAATAAGCAGTATGTACCACAGTAGAACAAATGGGGTACCTAACCTAATTGCTGAAGGAACATAGTAGAGTTTGATTAAACTAATTTGAAAGGTCTATATGTGTATTTATATATTAAAATAATTTGGAGGCCGGGCGCGGTGGCTCAAGCCTGTAATCCCAGCACTTTGGCAGGCTGAGGTGGGTGGATCACGAGGTCAAGAGATCGAGACCATCCTGAGCCGGGTGCGGTGGCTCAAGCCTGTAATCCCAGCACTTTGGGAGGCTGAGGCGGGTGGATCATGAGGTCAAGAGATCGAGACCATCCTGGTCAACATGGTGAAACCCCGTCTCTACTAAAAATACAAAAATTAGCTGGGCATGGTGGCACGTGCCTGTAATCCCAGCTACTCAGGAGGCTGAGGTGGGAGAATTGCCTGAACCCAGTAGGCGGAGGTTGTGGTGAGCCGAGACCGCGCCATTGCACTCCAGCCTGGGTAACAAGAGCGAAACTCCGTCTCAAAAAAAAAAAAAAAAAGAAACAATGGTAAGTGAGAAAAAACAAACTGCAGGGGATGTTAAGAGTATGACGGAGCCGAGCTGAACACAGTGGCAGTGGCTCATGCTTGTAATCCCAGCACTTTGGGAGTCCAAGGCAGGCAGATGGCTTGAGCCCAGGAGTTCAAGACCAGTCTGGGCAACATGGCAAAACACTGTCTCTACTAAAAATACAAAAATTCAGGTGTGGTGGCATGCACCTGCAGTCCCAGCTACTGGGGAGGGTGAGGTGGGAGGATTGTTTGAGTCCAGGAGGCAGAGGTTGCAGTGAGCTGAGATCTCACCACCACTGCACTCCAGCCTGCATGATAGAGCAAGACCATGCTCAAAAAACAAACAAACAAACAAAGTATAACATTTTCTGTAAAGCTAAAAAACAAGCAGAATTAAATACATTTTTAAAGAATACATACATATATGGTTAAAAATATCTACAGCAGATAATAGACACAAAAATTAAGGACCAGCGGTTACTGCTAAGAAGAGGTGGGGTACAGGCTAGGGAGGAACACACACACAATGGTATTTCAAACGTTTTAATGTATAAATTGTGTTACGGGTCATAGGTACTCATTAGTATGCATCATAATTTATTCACGTTAGATATACTCTTATGTAGATATCAAACATTACATATTATAATTTCTTAAAATCTGCTGTGGTGGAAATAAATGAACACATAAAGTCTCCCTGAAAGAAAGTATTTCTTGGGAAGAACCAAGATTCCCTGACAGAAAACTACCCTATGTAGAGGATAAAGTAGGTCTTCAATAAATATTAGTTGGTTTACTGCTCTTCCCAAGGATACATCTAGAGGGTCTGCAGTCCTCTCCCATTGGTGCTGCCTGACCACAGAACTTGCTCTTTCCGTGACGTCGCACCTAAACCCCACAGTCCTGGCTAAGTCCTGACACATGACAAGAGGCTGCCACCTGGTGGATACAGAGCGGACTTCATGAAATGGCTAGGAAGTAAGTCTTTCACTCCAGTTGGTGGAAGTGGCAATAGGGTGAGATAGGGAAGCAAGAATGAAGAGAAAACAAAAATGAAGACACAGGCAAAGGAAGGAGCTCCATCTCTGAGATGGAGGTAGGAAAAAAGGGACTATGTCTGACACTGGAGAATGGCTTCCCTCTCCTTCCTTCTGAGGCTAGAAGTGAGAGGAAAGAGACTACAGCTTGCATTAAGGGAAATGCAAGACTGAGGAGAAAAGAAAGCAGGTCTAGCTGATCTCCATTTAGCAAGCTAAAGTAATAATCGCTGGGTGTCAGCAGCCACCCCAGCAACATTCTGTTCCAAGTTTTCATCTGGGGAATCCATGTGATTTTGGGGAGGCTGACCCCACCCGTTTCCCCAAAGGTGTAGTCAATCAAGTAGAATAAGCAAACTAGCAGGTAGCATCCTCCTGGCCACAGTGATTGGCCAGGGGTGGACATGTGACGCAGGCCTAATCCGTGTGAATGATAGGGCTTTCGCTGGGATTTCTGGCACAAAGATGCCTTCTTTTTCTGATTGAACACATAATGGGGAAACGTGTAGTCCTAGGAATGCTGGCAGCCATGAGTGGCCCAGACTTAAGATGGTCTTACAGAAGACGCAACAGAAAAAAGTCAGCCTGGTATTTAGAGACATACTGAGCTACTGGGTCGGGCTTCAGCTGGAGCCAGCACTACCTGTGGACTTGCCAGTTACATGAACCAATAAGCCAGTTTGAAGTAGGTTTTCTGTGATTTAAAACCAAAAGATCCCTAACCTATACATTCATCATACTTAGCCCATTCCTACCTTCCCACAGGATAGCACAGGGATACAGGTAAGGTCACTACAGATTTATTGGTTACACTGAAGCCAAGGGTATCAAGCTGAAAAGGTTAGAGGCAGCAACCAGGTGCTAAGTAGATTGGTCTGTACAGAGGACTTCCTTAGGAGAACAGCCAAATGAGAAGCGAGTGCAGAGAAGGGCCTCTACTTGGCAAAGTTAACGTATGGATATAAACACTCTTCCCCACAGACCTCTATCATGGGGGTGTTGCTTTGGGGTCTTTATGCTCCTGGGATAAGGAACTTTGAAGCACATGCTCCTTTAAGTCTTTATTACCCTGTGCCACAGTGCCTGCCTCTCCCTTTGCCAACGGAAAAGCCTCCTTTTGGCTTCTGCTGCCCTTGATGACACTCACTTTCGAGGGGACCAAGGGAATTTTATCTTCTGCTTCTTTGGTATGCCGGGAACTGGGGCCCCTTCCTCCTTTGGAAACAGTACCTTCTTCCTGACCCTGGGCAAGCGCTGCCCCCCTTTTGGCCTCTCCCATTGGCCCTGGCCTCTCTGCCCCTCTCGCTGAGTTGCCTTCCCCTCCTGAGCCCCATGTCTCCCATGGTAACCTTGAGGACCGGGCCGAGTCCATGGCAGTTGCTGACTTCTGAAGGGTAGAATTCCTTTCCCCACTTCCACCTGACTTTTTTCGAGGGCGCCCCCGTTTCTTTTTGGCATCACTTGCTGTATCCTCTATATCCTGCTTCGCTGCTTTAGCTGGTGGGTCCTGCCCACTGGCCTCACTCACAGGTACTTCAGCTGTCCTCTTGACACCCTTGTCATGCGGTCCTGGGTCACCACCTATGCCTACCTCTCTGTTCTCTGTGCCCCGGGGCTGAGTGAGTCCCGCAGGTGGAGCTCGCCCAGGCCCAGGTCCAGGTGCCGGTGCAGGCAAAGCAGGAACAGTTGGTAAGATCATGTTAATGATGGGCACAGCTGCTGGGGGTGCCCCGGCCCTACTAGACAGAGGCAGTGTAGCCACTTTCAGGGCACCTGAAGGAAGCCTGGGGGCCAGGATAGGTGGAGAGACTGGGATTGGCGGAATAAGTGAGCGAGGGGCCCGGGGAAGGAGCAGAGGCAGCCGAGCCACTAGGGCATTAACCTGCAGGTTATTGGCTCCTGGAGCCGAGCTCTCAACTACACTCT